AAAAAAAAAATTTCTTTTTTCTCAGTTTTATTTTTGAGCAGCAAAATAAGCGATCTAAGTGAAAACAAACAACAAAATTAATAAAAAAAAAAAGAAAAACCGGTATGATTTTTAATTGATTTTTATTTTAATCTTACTTTTTGAAAATAAAATGAATGAAAGAAAAAAAAATTTTTTCCTTTATTAAAAAATACAAACTTAAATAATATTAAAACAGAAAATTTGATGCTAAAAGCAAAAATTTTAATGCCAGTTTTGACACATAATTTTATTTTACATTTACTTCAATTTTAAAATTGAACAGAATGAAATGATATGGTCTTTTTTTTTTTTTTTTTTTTAAAACAAAAACGATAAAATGCTTAAATCTTTTCAATGTAACTATTGCGATATTCTATCTCCCTCCTGTTCTCTCTCCCTCTTCTTCCTCCCCTCCTTTCTCTCCTACCACCCCCGTTTCTATCTCTCCTCTCCTCTTTCTCCCCTCCTCTCCTTTGTCCCTTCTTCTCTTCTCTCTCCTGTCTTCTCTATCTCTCTCCTCTCCCTCTTTCTCCTTGCTCTTCTCCCCTAAACAATAAAATAAAATATTTAAATTTGATTATCAAAACGAAATTCATACTAAATTTGTTTGGTCCATCAGTTACAAGATCTGGATGATTAACACACACAATTTGTGTAATGTGATTAAACCAACAAATGCATCCATTTTATCGGATAAAATATGGTCACACTCACGAGATGATAAATATTCTTCACAAAGTTTACGTTCACATGGTATAATATTACAAAAGGAAGAAAAGCAGTAAATGACTCAAAGACTATTACATTGTTTTAAATTAATTAATAAAAGGGGTCTGAAATTAAATGAAATAAATAAAAACGCACCAGTAAAAATCAACCTGTTCTGCTTTCGTGTGCTAAATGAATAGACATTTCAACATTCTTTTTCAAGCATCTTAAGATTAATCGCATCCCTGAAATGCTAAATTGTAAAAAAAATACAGAAAATTTATCAGAAATTTTGAAAATACCATGACTGAAATGGATATGGAAAAGTTTAAAATAGAATAAGAATGTAAACAAGGCTACTTAACTTTTTTTTAGCAGTGAATCACTACGCGGCAGTAATACACAATCTTTACAGAAAGAGACTACTACGTGAGAAGGTCGACTGTTACCTTTCTTTTTGAAAGTTATGATGAGACAATCACTACCATAAAATTCCTACTTAGTGTACCGGTACGTTTCTTAACATAAATTTCAATACTAAATCTCTGGAATATCTTTCTTAAGAAGTAAGAACCTCAAAATGCACGCACATTTATAAGTGGTACGCACTTGAACCTCAGTAGCGATTGGAGTGATTGGAATTGAAAATTTATCCATGAATGATTTCAAAGCACCGAGGCTACCGGGATAAACAAAATCGATCAATGACTTATAAATGATATTCCGTTCTTATTGTTAGCTCAACATCATCAACATTATAAAAGAGTTTAGAGCTTAGTTAACACACCTTTTTCATAATCATACTTCAAGTTTAGTCGACAAAAATATATTCTATACATATCTAAATGCACTGTGACCCTAAACTGAACTGAAAATAGCTTAAACACATACCATAACTCTCGAAGAGAATTTTGCAACAGTGAACCGCTTAGAATCAATTTGTGAGGAGTATGTATTTCTTTCACGGTAGGAGTAATCTTAAAACTAAGACTTGTGATTTTAAGTGTAGAAAAATATTAAATAATGATCTTAGGGACATCTTACTTTAAAATAAATAACTTTACCTGCAAAAAGAATCCGAAGCAATAAAAAATTAGTTGGGAATTAAGTTGTTTATTACATTGCACTCCTGAGCGTCTTTTGCTATACTTTCTATATGCTTTAAGAAATGCGTATCATGATAACTTGTTCTCCTAGATTAATAATCTCCTCCTATCACATAAAGAATTTGAGTTATCATCGCATTCATATTTTAAAAAATGTAGAAATCAACAGATGGGCGAAACGAATATCAAGATTCCTTCTCATGAACTTTTATGAAGCATTTTACACAAATTAAAATAAAAACTCGTATAAAAAAAGTAAAGACAACTACTACCTGCGCATCCGGGTTTCTAATTTTATGCCCCCCATCAAGTATTATATAATGCCAGACTTTGTCAATCAAGTATTTTCGATTTTTAGCAAATGTTCCATATGACGTTAACAAAACACTACCATCGCTAAAAGTAGCTTGAAAGCATATTTTTCATTCGATGTGATATTTACCACAACTTTAAAATTCGAACTAAAATAGTACGAATTTCAGAAATTTCAAAAAATACGACAACAAATTCAGTTTCACGTAGTGCTTTACGTGTTGTACTACTGAAAGCTTGGCCTGATCCAAATGAATTGCTTTGCAATACGAATACAAATTCAGAAATCACGCAAAATTGGACGTATGAAATAGAATCTTCAGAATGTCAAGAAACGAGTGGTTCTCAAATAACAGATATAAGTGATAATTCAAATTAAAATATTATGTTAAAAATTTTACTAAATTAAAAATTGGCAATAAATAATTGCTTTTAATTAAAATTTTTAATTGAAAAAAAAATGCATTTTTTATGATTTTTTTATGCTATATTTTTTATGATATATGCATTTTATGATATATTTTAAAATTAAACAAGAAATATGCATTTAAATTCATTTTTTCATGTGGTCTTATTTAGGAAAATTTTTAAGAAATTATTGCCTTCAACTTACTACATTTAAAATTGTTTGTTAAATGACAATTATTATAAAAATCAATAAATTAATTAAGATCATTATAAATTATCATAAATGATTGAATCATTATAAATGATATCAAATTAACATCTAATAAATGATTAATCATTTCATTTAAATTTTATTTTTTACAAGACAAAACAAAAATAAAAAAAAGAGAAAAAACGAAGAGTGTAAAGGAGAAAAAAAAATGAAAGAAATGACAACTTCTTATCATTTTAAAAAAAAAAAAAAAGCGAAAGCATATTAGAACGTTTTTGTACGTTCAATTCCAAAAGATATTATCGGTTAATTAACAGCTGTTGAAATATTACTTTAAATTGTTTACATTTCTCTTTAAGTTTACTTAACAATTAATTATATAATTATTTTATTAATTATATAATTAACTGGTTATTTTGTTTAATTTAGTTAATTTTTATTCAAATTTTTTTTAGTTATGATGACTGCTACCATTTCTCTTATGATTTATCATTCTTCGACTATGAGAATTTACTTATGATCCTGAAACACTATATTATTATTATTATTATTATCATTGGACTATTATTATCAATCTTTTGTCATTAATAGTATTATTACTATTACTGAATGCTGCAGCGGTTTTCATAACCATTATTTTTATATATAATTATTATCACTATCTTACTTGTCATCAGTGCTTATTTTTGAACTGCTATCATTGTTCTTAATAATTATCATTTATTGCATATTTGTTATCACTATCATATCATTGTTGCTAACATTTTTGTATTCAATTAAGATAAGTGCTAAAATTATTAATTAATTACAACTAATATTCATCGATCGTTATCACTACAAGCAGATATTATCTGAATTCTCGATATATCGCAAATATTAACAAATGCAAAGCATAATACATTTGCATAAGATAAATAAGTACGATGATAATATCAGTGATATTTCCATTAATATTTTAATTTCAGGATGAAAAGCTTTAATTTTACTTTTGTATTTTTTCAGCAAATTATTAAAACAGTAATTGTCTGCAAATATTTTTAATTAACAAAGCACTGCAATATAAACTGCAACTCAAAAAAAAAGCGACAAATTTTCAAAATTCAATTTTTTTTTTCATTTTGTAATTTTCATTACAAATAAGCAATAACTATTTGTTAATTATTTGTGGGTAAAAAAGTTTGCAATTGTGCAATAAAAATGATAAAATTTCAAATTTTACTTTTCTTTCTTGTTTTTTTTTGCGATAAATTACAAAGCAGTAATTATTGCATGCATTTTCGTCTAGCAATTGAATATATCCACGATGATATATTATCTGACATCTTACTTTGACCTTTCCGCCTGAGCAATCAGCAAAATCCATCCAATTCGTTCTCGAAAAGTAAAACTGATGAAAGCATATGAGAAGGTTTCGAATTAGCATTTAGCACTTTCTGTTTTTCATTAAAAACTACGATTCGTTTTCTTCTTTTTTTTTTTTTTTTTTGTTTTTCTGTTTTCTCAAACTTTTCATTTTACTATTTATTCCGTTTTTTTTCCGTTTCAGGTTCGCTTTATTTTGTTTTCTTGTCATTTGAATTTTTTTTTTTTTTGTTTAATTTGAAATAATTGACTATATTAGTTTAAATTAAACGTTATTTTTTAATTTTATCAATTTGTAGGCAAAATTTTTACATTTAAAATTTGCTTCAAAAGAAAAAAAATCATTGATATGCTAAAATTTGAAATTATTTTTGATATTTCCGTTATGTTCAATTTTTTTTTTTAATTGTGCTGTGTCAAGAGAAGAAAATGTTTTAACATTTTTCTAACAATTTTGAACAATTCGCCCGTTTATTTTCCATTTCTCTTATTTTGTTCACTTCTTTTATCATTTATTAAATTTATGAAAAAATCATAAATTTATCTTTTATGTTGATACTTACGTGTAATGAACTATAAATTTCAATTGCAATTTCAAAATATTTAGCAATTCTTTCCATTTTGTCTTATATATTTAATCTATTTATAACTTTGAAATTTCCCTTTTTTTTTTTTTCTAGCAATTTTTTTTAACATAGAAATAGAAATTGATTTTAATTAATTCATTTGGAATATACCGTAATGTGTGTTCGTGTAAACGTGACGAACAATATTTAAAATAAAATAAAATAATATCAAAAAGTTTACAAAAATATAAATGAATTTGTTTTATTACATTTTTTTTTTTTGTTAACTAAATTTAGGCATAAAAAATGCCAATAGCAAAAACAATTCAAAATGTTCACGCATTTATAACGATTGGCCTTCGTCCACTGATACCACTTGGAATATTGATAGCGTATACGTTAATTGGCGCATTTATGTTTATGTACGTGGAAGGGCCAAATGAACGTCGAGACATTGAATTACATCAACGTGAACAGCGTGAAATATATGAAGTAATTTTAATATATATAAATTTAATTTTTTGATAATTTTGATGGATAAAAGTATACTTGTTTAAATTATTTCAAATGATTAATTACATTTATTATTATTACTACTACTATTATTATTATCATTATTATTATTGTTATTATTATTATTATTATTATTATTGTTATTACTATTATTATCATTATTATTACTAATATTATTTTTATTACTATTATTATTATTATTTTGATTTATGTATGCAATCATAATTAGTGCACCCCTTATTAATAATTACATCAAGTTTTTTTTTTGATAATTTTGATATGTAGAACTATACTTTTAATTATTTGAAATGATTAATTTTAAAATTTAAAGCATTAATTTAGGATGTGGCATATCGAATACACAATTTAAAAGGATTAAGTGCAATGCGAGCATATAATCAAACAATTCGAGTGTTGAAGAAATTAGGAAAAAAATTAGGAATGAAATATCCCACAATGGAAGATGCTAAATGGACATTCTGGGGATCAATCTTTTATTCACTTACTGTTTATACAACTATTGGTAGGAATAATTAGTAATGATTTAATTTGCTAAATTTCGTTATCAATTGATAATGTGATCATTAATTATTTAACTTTTTCAGTCGAACTATAATTAGTAATAGCAATATTTAATTTAAATTATTTAATTAAAAAAACTACTTAATTAAAAACTTTTAGATTTAAAAAAAATTATATTTAATTGAGAAAAAAAGTATTTAATTTTGATTTAAAGTGCAAAGTACAATTTGCAATCAATTTATCATTGATAATCAAGCTTAATAGTAGTGAAACGATGACTTCAGCTGATTTTATTATAGTTAGTGGATGAAAAATGCATCATTTAAGAAGTTCTATAAATATTGCTATTTTAACTTTTAGTTTTAAATTAGTATATTTAAGGTTACGGAAATATTTATCCGGTAACGACACTTGGACGTATGTTAACGTTAATTTACGCATTCGTTGGTATACCGCTAACATTATTATCACTAATCGCATTAGGTGGCTTATTTGCACGAGTTTGCAAAATGTTATGGCTTATCGTAGCTAAAACATTAGCTCGATCATCGCGTTTTGTCTCGAAAGATCTCGAGAAACATATCGTAAGGATGGATTCTCATTTTTTATTTTAAAAATTCTCATATAAATTATGAAAAACAATGATAATTGTTAATTACCCTAAATTATCGAAATCATATAAACATTGAAATGTAATATTTTGCCTATTATTTACTTTCGAAGTTTGACTTTTTTTTGAATACACCATGTAGAATTTTAAAATTTTTATGCTTCAAAATCATTTATTGTAATAATTATTATTAGCACTAATGTCAACAAATTCCAATTTCAACAATCAAAAAGGAAATTTTTGAAATTCAAATTTTTTAAAAAATTTTCGAAATTCCACTTGAATACTATTGACAGTAGAGAAATGTTTTTATATACATATTATTTTATTTGCATTGATTAAAAAATTTTAAAATATTACGATCAATTGTATTGCATGAAATGCATGAAATTTTTTAATGGATCATTTTATTATTCAAACTACTTAAACATTTCATATTTTGCTCCTTTTTAATATACTTCAAATTCATCGTTGAATAAATTAACAACAAAAAAAAAAAAAATTAAAAGTTAAATAAATTAATTGTTAAATAAAAGTGTTACAGTTTTATTTAATTAAAAATTAATTACATAAAACTGTAAAAGTGATTAAACAGGTTGAAAACTTAAAAAGCTATCATTTCATTTAAAATTAATAATCAAACACTTAACAATATCAAAAGTTTATAAGCAAAAAATTGCTTTTCTCTCTCTCTCTCTCTCTTTTTTATTTTTTAGGAAGAGAAAATGACATTATCAGAAATTGTTTTGGATGAAAATGAAGAATTGCTGAATTTCCCGGTGGGCGGTTTAATTATAATAACAATTGTTTGGGCATTCATTTGCGCTGGTTTATTTCTCATTTTCGAAAATGATTGGTCTTATGGTAAACAAAGCCTTTTCGCATTATCCTTTTTTACATTAAAAATTTTTGAAATATTTAAATTACTTAAAATATAATTCATTTCGTTCTTTTTTCTCTATTAAATGATTTATTTGTTTTGCATGTTTAAGGGAAAAAAAAAAGAAAAAAGAAACACGGAAGTGCAACTTTTACGTTTTAATATGTTAATTTATTTTATAAAAATTCTATGTTAATCTAAATTTGCAAATGTACAACAAAATGCTTAAAGTGGTAATTTAACTTTTGTTACTTTTCAGGTACGTCACTTTATTTCACATTAATATCATTTACAACTATTGGATTTGGTGACATTTTACCAAGTCAACCAGATTACATTGCTCATATTGCTATATGTTTACTAATTGGCCTTGCATTAGTGTCAACTGTCATCAATGTCATCCAACAACAAATTGAAGCATTAGCTATTGTAATTAATTATCTTAAGCAGAAATCATTTTGCATTCGTTAGTACTAACATTGTACTTTTGTTAAATTTTAACCAATTAATTTCAGACATATGTGTAATAATTCAGTTAAATGTTGGGAAATTAATTACTATCACTCATTTTATTTTATTTATTTGCATTTTATACTTTTACTTTTTTACCAATTAAAAATTAAAGTTTCATACATTCTATGAAAAAAAAAAATTTTTGGGTTTTTTTTGAAATAAAATTTTTTACTGAATTACTGAATTACTTTTAAATTATTAATTTTTTTCTTTACTGAATTATTTTTATTTTTGTTTTTTTATTTGCAAGGGAATGGATAAAAATATCGACAATGAATATAAAAATGCATTGGAAAAACTTGAATGCAATGATGAACAATTCGAATATCACGTTGATAATGATGATATTGATAATGATAATGATAATAATGATAGCAAAAATGATATTACCAGTCAGGAGCTACTAAAAGGTTACTCAAGTTATTATTTATTTGATTTATTAAATGATAAATTAGCATAAAAAGTAGCTTTTTTTTAAATGAAACTAAATATTTTGAATTTTCATATATTTCCTAGAAATATTATTATATGTGAATAGAGTTCAATTTTGAATCATTTTTAACTATTATATTTTATCATTAATAATATTTTACTGAAATATTAAACTATAATGAAAATCTTTCAGTTCAACTTGTAATAATTGTGAATTTTTAGATTGGAAAAGGATTTTACAATAAAATTATAATTACTATCTTATAAATGATTACATTAGACTGAAATAGCTTATTTATTCAAGGCAGATTTTAAAAATAAAAATAAAAACAAAAGAAAGAGCATAATAAGATTGGAGTGACAAATATATGTAATTCAAATTTTTTTTTTTTTTTTTGCTCAAGAATTGATAATTTTAAATTTTTAATTAAAATTTTTGCTTCACAGATATTTCTACGTTTTTTAACTAAAATACAATCTGATTAATTTGTATTGCAGAGGATGAACCATTGATAAGTTTTGACAATATCTTATCAAAAATGCCACTGAGGAATCACATTTTATATAAGGTTATGCCAGAATTAGGTAAAAAACAAATTATCAAAAAAATTGAATCACGTGGACAGCAACGAGTGAAATCAACGCAAACCGATACGTCACTTCTTGAATCTTTGGTATGGTCATTTTTTATTTTATATGTTTTAAATTAATTCAATTGCAATTAAAATTCAAAATGAAATTATTTAAGCAAATATTAAATCTCAGCTGTTTAATGAATCCAAATATGTTGGAAAATTCATCGATTAGTTGGTTGTATGTGTGCTTTAAAATTTATTAAAACTATAAAAAGGACATTAAAATTTAGAATTTAAAATTGTTGCATTTTTCGAGTGATTTCTGCTTGTACTTTCCTCTGTAGGCGAAAGAGAAAATTAATAATAAATTCCTGTTTTTTTCTTTTTTTTTTTAATTTTTATATTTCATATTAATCTTTTTAATTTTTATATTTTATATTAATCTTCATAAAAATAATAAGTAAAAGCAAAAATTTGCTAATTTAATAACCTAAAATTTGTTTCACATTAAATAAAAGCCACAATTTATTTCCTTTTTGAGTTAAATTTTTTGATAAATCCAAATAATTATTATTATTCATTAAAGTTATGATTTTTCACTTAGAAAATGTCATTTGTCGTTTTACATATATTTGTTTATTCATATTATAACATAACTTAAATTGAAATATGGATAAATAATTTCCTCTTTTATCGAATAGATAAAATATTATTAATAAATCAAAAAAAAATAAATAAATAAACAAGGAAAAATTAAACTTCAATGGAATCTTTAATCATTGTGAATATTAAATGAAAAATTTCTTTGAACATAAAGAAAAAAGCAAAAGAAAAAAAAGCAGAATTTTATTTTTCATATAGAAAAATATTTTCAATTGCAAGTTGATATGCTTAATAAATTTTCGTTTTTTTTTTTTTTTTTTTTTTTTTTTTTGGGAATTTTATAGACAATCAAAAATTTTGGAATACTTTAAAATGAAATCCAAATTTTATCTATAATATTATTAGAAACAATCATATATAGCTCAAAGTTATTCGATAAATCATGAAATTGAAATGATATTTGATTTAAGACGAGATGTCGAAAATTTTGAAATTAGTAATGTACTGCTGCCACTATGCAAGTATCTTATCTACATGTAAGTTATTAATTTTAATGTTCATTTTAAACTTTTCGTTTATTTATCGACATATTTCAAAAAAGAAAAATGATTGACTTTTATAATTAATTAAAGCAATTAATATATTTTAACTCTAATAATTGAAGTTAAATCGTTGTTAGATTTCTTGTTAGAATTTTTTGTCAAAGAAAAGCTAGAAATTTTATCCATATGAATGAATGTATGAATTGTTGCTGTAAGTGAAAAATTATTAGTTAAATTATTTTTAAATTTTAATCTTTCAAATTTTTAGAATTCTCGAAGAAAGCAATGAAGTGAAAAGTGATTATGAATTGATAAATTTATGAATGCAATAATTTTATTGAATGTATTGAAAATAAAATTATTCATTTTTTTTTCACTTTTAAAAGACAAATTAAAATTTCAGATCTAATTTTAAAGAAAGAAAAAAATCTTTCTCGTCTTTTTTTGCTCTTTTTTCCACATTATCTATTCTTTTATTTTATACTGTGGAGAGAAATGAATGCGATAAATTCACTGAAAATTATGGTTGTTACCATTTCATTTCAAAATATCAAATTTATCATTCGAAAATATCAATTATCCTTATCATTTCTATCTTTTATTTGCAATATGTCATTAACATTTAGTGCGTAAGAAATTAGCTTTACTAATTAGCCATTAATTAATTTCATATGCTAACAAGTTAATAGTATAAATGATCGATTTGTTAAAAGTCAATTTTCTCAATACTTAAAAAAAGTTCAAACTTTATTACTTTATTACTGTTAAATTCAAAGATGAATGAATTTTTTTTTTACTGAGCTTAGCAACTGCTTCAAAAACTTCAATCTGCTATTATCTGATTATTTCATTATTTCTGCTTAATTACCCAAGTTTGAACCCAAGGAAGATGTGAAATGCAATGAATCGATATGGAAGAGATGATAATACTACTTCAATGGTACTATACTGATAATGAAAGTAAGAATATCAATGGTACTACACTGATAATTTTTCATTTAAATATTTAAGAACTGACTGACATATTCACAAAGAATTAAATATTTATGTAGGAAGATTAAAGAAAGAATCAAAATAAATTTTTATCTTTCTTCACACAGATAATAAATTCCATTGGTAAAATCTTTTGAATTCTTCCCGAGATATAGAAATATTTCTGAAATATCTTTAAATCCTTCCCGAGAAAGATATGAATATTGATGAACATTCAATTTAATTATCTGGAAAAATCTTCTCGAAAGATCTCTTGAACATAAACTGAAAAATCCTCCAAAAATACTTGCTAAATTTTGTTGAAAGTATAAAACATCATATAGATTAAACAAAGAATGCACAAAGGTCATCCGAATCCGGAAAAAAGCGGAATGAGTAATTTCTGTGGATCTTACATTAAGATAGCATAATAGAGGACAAATGGATGTTGTATGCATGAATGTGAGTTCATTTCTGATCTCATACAATAGTATTTTCCTTTATACTTTTTTAAATTTTTGAAGTTTTTTTAAATTTTGAAATTTTGAAGGAATTTCGAAAAAAAATTTTTATAAACTTTTAATCTCAAATTGAGAAAATTTCTTTTTAAAATAAATTCAACCATCAATGAACTTGTCACTCCTTGCTCCATGGATCGGGTGGCCGAGTGGTTAAGGCGATGGACTGCTAATCCATTGGGGTTTCCCCGCGTGAGTTCGAATCTCATCCCGATCGCACTGCCTCTTTTGCACAACAGATTTAAAACTGTAATAAGCACTTTGTTACCTTAGATTTTGCAAATTTATTTTCTCGTAAAATATTTGTTGGAATCATAATCATTTCAATTATTTTATGTTTTTGGAGAAAGATATTCGTTAGTAATTACTAATAATTTTAAGCAAATTCAAATCTTTTAAAAACAAATAAAAATGTTTCTAGAAATGTTTTAATGAAGAAATTAGTTGCATAAATTAAAGAATAAAAATTTTTTGGAAAAACTATGAATATTTTGTTTGATCAAAATATTCCAGAAATAAAGTAAATAAGAACAACACTAGATGCTTATTAATTAACAATTATGTGTAATTAATTGTTGACTACAGGAATATTTCATCAGAAAAGAAAAATAAAAAAGAGACAAATTAAAAAGTAATAATTAGGAAAATGAAATGTAACAAAAAAAAAAGAAAAAAATTCTAATAATAAGCAGAAAAATGAAAAATGTAAAGAAATTTAAAAGAAGAATTTTAAAAGCATAAATTAACAGAAAACTGAAATAGAATACGATTGACTTTTCAATTGATCAAATGTAATATGTTAAACTGAAGAACTTTTAAATTTAAAAATTCTCAAACAATGGAAATACTTAGAGAAAACATTAATAATATTACTTGATGGACGGAAAAATTAATACATTAATAAGCTAATCAATAAGAAAAACCAAATAATACAATTATCAAATAAACAATTATAGGAAGGAAAAGGCTTTTTAAATATTTTAAATGGTTAAAATAAATGAAAAAAAAAAAAGCTTTAACCACATATTCACTCTCCCTTTCAATTCTGATAACTGATATTAAGGAAAATATTGTAATTACTCACTTAAAAGTAACTTTTTTTACTTTTTACAACTTTTCACAGCTAATTATCACATTTCTAACTTTTCACAAAAACTGATCACTTCACTTACTCTGTATTAATATTTCAGCAGAATCATTTTAAAATGTTAGAACCGGAAATATTTTACATTGCCTGAAATCATCCTGGCGGTGAGCTGTCCTTTTATGTAATTCAGTTCCTATTTTATTACGCATTTTAAAAACTTCACAGAGAAACATTAGTAGACTTTGAGTGTAATTATGAAAGCAACTAAAAAAAGTCAAATTTAAAAGCAACTAAAAAAAGTCAAATTCTGATTGTCTTAGAAATTTCCTACCTGTAATATGAAATAATTATGTTGCAGTTCACGACAAAAAGTGTTACATATGCAGATAAAAATGAAGGAGCTATCACTGTGTTATGGATAACAACAATAATAATTTCTCTTTTATTAGTGCAAGCTGCATATCTAATTAATAAAAATTTGTATACATGGTCTGCAGTTATGCAAGCAAAACATTTGAAAATGCTCCGTGATCGAGAATATGTTTTACTTCGAACATACAATCGAGAATTGCAGTTCAGTAGGTTAATGCAGGGAATAATGGAAGATGAAGATATTGGTGATACTATTGAGATGACAACTGTTGAATGAATGAAATATTTTCTGATTTTATTGTTTAGAAATATTATCCATTTTCACATTTCAATGAAAATACAAATTGTTGGAATTAACAATTATTTTTATGCAAAAATGTGATGATGCATAATGTAATTCAAAAAACATTACCTGTTCAAATTTTATACAATAGCAAAATGAGATTAGTGTTAGCTTAGGTATGATCCCCTTTTGTTATATAACAACAAAAATTTGTATACATAACAACAATAGAACTACCTTTTTCATTTCTTTATTGTTTTTTTTTTTTTTTTTTTTGTTTTTTGTTTTTTTTGGTTCTGTAGCATGCATTCAAAAAAAGATAGAAGGATGATCAAATAAAATATCTAAATATGATTTGAAAAAATGTTTCCTTGTCTGCGAAAAATAACAGCAAAACTACTAATTGCACAATAAAACTGTGTGGAACTTACGAAGTATTTCGTCTTTCGCTTTTCAAAAGGTTTTTATCAACTTTTGAACGGAAAATGAAAAACCAGAATAAAAGATTATCAAAACAACCATCATATTTTGTAGTAAATGAAATTTCAAAGGCTTCTCTAAGTGCATAATATATTGCTTCAATCGTTGCAAGATGATAATCTGATAAACCTCGCTGAAATCTTCATAGAAGATCAAAAATATTAAATATGAATTTTTCATTTAAAAGAATCCATTATCTGGAAAAACGCATGGACATTTACCCTCATTTTTTTTTTAAAAAAAATGAAAGTATGATTACAGTGATCCAATAAAAAAGAAACTGAACTTGAAAAAAGTCAGAAGCTCAATCTGAAGTTAAAAATATTTAAAACTTAACCTGGGGTCGCCAATATTTCGTTTTGTAAGATCGTAATGTCACAACAGGAAGATGCTGTAACTGTGGTAATAACTTTAGTCCTCCAATCTAAAATGAACTGTGTTAACATTTATTCCAAATATATTTTAAAACCAAAAAGAAACGTCGTAGTGCCCAAACAGAAACAAAAATTCGTTTAGCATTTTATAAAATTTTCTCAACGAATATCACTCGATAGTACTCCATAGAACATCAGCTCAGGAATAAAGTGCTTTAATTTAAAAAAAAAAAAAAAGAGATCTGAGCTACTAACAAAGGATAATTAGCTAAAAATAAAGTCATAAAAGCGAAACCTGAAACCATGTTGAGTCGAGGAACACAAAACGTTTGATAGCACCTCGTTTCTTAATAAAATCATCTACAGAAGAAGCATTTTCGGAATAAACTACCAATACCTGGTAAAATTATACGGTTACATCGGAAAGGAATTTTTTCTTTGCGGCATAATTTAATGAGTACATGGGAAGTTTCTAGTGGTTTCAATAAATGCAAAAAACTATTATGATCAAACATAGATGAGGAGGAATAAGAATGAGGGGAAATACCGTATTTTCCTGTTTGTAATTCGGAGAGTTATAATCAGGAACATTGGATGATTCATATAATGTAGTAGAAGATGGAGCAAGAAGAAGGCAATGCAATGCAGTACTTTTACTATTCTTTTCCTGTGGATGTTTGATAATATCAATATGAACTGGTAGCTAAAAAATGCATATTATAACGTAAATTTCATTTCTTATTTATTGAATAATAATTAATGTTAAATTAAGATAGTAATAATGCAATTTAAAGTAACATTTTTTCAGCAATTTCTCTGCCAAGCAACCTCATAATCATAACACAAACATTAGAAAAGATAAT